CCCCAAAACCCCAAAACCCCAAAACCCCAAAACCCCTGCTGAAGTTAAAACTATTGAAAATTTATTAACTGACATCAGTGTTCTTCTTGAGACTGATTTGGGATACCATCTCATCATTTTTGAAAATGGCAGTCACCTCAGTTCCATCTGGTTGCGAGATTGTTCCGTGACCATGAAGCTTGCCGTCTCTGAACTCTCCAACATAAATTATTCCATTTCCGAACCTAAGTTCACCTTTACCATTATACTTTCCATGTTCGAATTGGCCTAAGATTTGTGAGTAAATCAGTTTTTGAAATAATTTCATCAATAGAAGAGAAAGTTACCGTCATATTTGCTCCCATCTGGAGCTATCTCTTTTCCTTTGCCATGCTTGTGACTTTTTACCCAATCTCCAAAGTAAAATCCACCTTCCTTCTTAGTAAATCTCCCTTTTCCGTGGAATTTGTTCTGATGGAACATTCCTTCATAGACACCGCCTCCTGGCAGCTTTAGTTTTCCCTTTCCTTCGCACTTGTCTTGGACGATCTTTCCCTTATATAAGGCGCCAGTGGGGAAAAGGATTTCTCCAATTCCATCCATTTTACCTGTATTGGGATCGACTTCTCCAGAGTACTCCACTTCGGTATTTCCGAAGGCGATCTTGGTATCTGAAAGCTTCTCTCTCTTATGCTCTTCCACTAAAGGTACGGTAAACAATAAGGCATTTTTGAACTTATTGATTCGTTATGATAAAGTGGCCCTGTTTTAGTTATATTATAGATCCAAATGGAGCCAACAGCTTCACAAGCCTCTTTGTATGAAAAGAAGCTTAAAACTTCAAGAATAATGTAACTAAGATTTAGTAAGAATACGTTTGATGAAACTCTTCAAATTTAATAACTTTCTAAAACTAATATTCTTTAAAGAATTTGTGAATTTGATTACCTTTGGTTATTGGAGGAGTGTTTGACCTGGTCCCCTCTTGGTTGTCTGAACTTTCAGAGTCATTTTCAGCATCTTGCTCTTCTGAGACTGATTCATTCTCTTCTTCTTGATACTCAGGGAGTTTTCTGCTGCTAGTCTTATTTTAAGATTGCCATCGTCTGAGTAAGGGACTTACGAGATGGATTTGAAGCTTTACTAAGGTGTTGTGTCTTCTTTTTCTTCAAGAAAGTTTCTATCTTCTTTAGTTTGACCTTTTTGCCGTCCTTTTTGATGTATGAAGTCTTTCCTCTCTCGATTTTGGGATATAGCATGATATCTCCATTTTCTTCGTCTAATTCTTTGCTGCAGAATATTCCCATTCGCCTATACATGCCCCATTCAGACCCCGCTTAAAACCCGGTCACGTACAAATCTTTAAAACTTTGAAGAATTGTGAGTAATTGAGTAGTAAACAAATTGAGAGCTTACCTTTGAGGGTTAAAATATTTGTGTAATAAGTTAGACTCAGTTTGGGAGTGGAGAGGTGGGGTTTTGGGGTTTTGGGGTTTTGGGGTTTTGGGG